GGAAATTTTTTCCGTCTAGGATGCGTTATTCTAGACGGAAATTCCGTCTAGAATAATCCGTCTAGAATGTATTCTAGACGGTTTTGAATTCCGTCTAGAATATTCCGTCTAGGATGTATTCTAGACGGAATTTCCGTCTAGAATACTACATCCTAGACGGAAATATACTAGACGCGTATTCTAGACGGAATTCCGTCTAGAATACGCATCCTAGACGGAATTCTGGGTATCCTAGACGGAAAATTCCATCTAGGATGCCTCATTATTTAGTAGTGTTCCAACATTTCTTTCTCCATTAAATCGACTACTGGCTTTAGATCTTTCACAAAAGTTTCTTCCCTGCAACATCAAAAAGAATAAGATTAATACAAAAAGCAAATGAATGAGAGTGAGACATTGTATTGTACCTGTGTTAGCGATTGGACAGAAACGTATAATCAAAGAACTAAAGTTACGACCCAGTGTAGTAAAGGTTATAAGCAATAAGCAGCAATTCCAAAAATGCAAACTAAGAAAATTTAACAGCGAGTAGATGTACAGGCCGTCGTATGCCGAAGAACTCGTTCAGGGCAATTCAAGATATTTGAAGCAAGCCACGATTATATTGAAAACTGAGTTCACATGTTTATGCGGATTCTGGCGCATAAATATTAACCAAAGGATGAAAAAAGTCTAGTGGGGCGCTGACTGAAGCATTCAGTAGTTGAATAGCAGAAAAAGGGCCCATCAACGTTTAGGCCTCCCAAAAAGAGGGACACTTCCCGAATACTTTGACTGATAAGTAAGAAAACTATGGTAATATCACTATTTCCTTTACAATCTTGGTGCCCTACTTCAAGTGTCAATACTACGTTGTATCAGATAAATGCATGAGGCCATTTATTTGAAGGTCTTATCCCATGTTTAATTGATTATTCTGTTGAGTGCATAGCTATGAGCATACTTTCACACACATTCACAAAGTCTAATTTTTGAAAGGGTCTTATATTGGATGCTCCAAAACACTCAGGAGACCACCTGTCTCCAAACAATACAACTTCTACTCGTTAAAAAATGAGTTTAGTTTCCCCTGTTTTCTCAGCACGCTTAACATTAAAACCTCTAATTTTGTAAGTTAGAATGTCTGGTGTTTCTTCCGAGTGAAAATGTTACAATATATATTTTATTGCTCTTTGGACAATATATATTTTATTGCTCTTTGTTTCAGAATGCCAAACAAACACATAAATGATGTACCCCATAATAATAATAAAAAAGAGGAATTTGGTAAAACTAATTGAAGAGACCAAGGTATTGTTGTGCGCAGCGGAAATTTCGGCAGCACCTCCGGTGCTCCAAGGTGCACAACAAGAGATTAGATCACTGTTTGATTGTTAACCCTAATTAAAAAAAGATTTTTTTCTTTTCCATCCTTTTTAGTTGCTTTTAATTCTTGCATTTCATATTATTAGTAGGAATTCACCAAGTGATTTGAGCATCTTAATTTGGCACACACTTAAAAATATTTTTAAGGGCAAAACCCCATAATCAAGATAAGGTGAGGGATTTCATCACCCTTTCCTTAGCCCAAAAATCACTAATTCCTCACTACACCATCCAAGTTGGTGCGTAAGATGTCGGGGAAAGAAGGTGCTTCGGGAGTCGAGGGTGGTTCTTCTGGCGTGAAGACTATTCAGAGTTTGAATATCCACTCTATGAAGATAGATGTGGAGAAATTTAATGGCACAAACAACTTTGGATTATGGAGATGCGAGGTTTTGGATGCGCTGAACGCGCAGAATTTGGAGGATACATTGGAGTTAGATGGCAAGCCAGATGAGATTGAAGAGAAGGTTTGGAAGAAGATGAATCGAACGGCGTGTGGTGTGATTAGGTCTTGTTTGACTCAAGATCTAAAATATGATGTGATGAATGAGACTTCTGCGAAGAAGATTTGGGAGATTCTCGAAAGCAAGTATTTGACCAAGAGTGTGGAAAATCGCTTGCATTTGAAGAGGAGACTTTATCGTTTCCAGTTGAAGAAGGGAACCTCCATTAGAGATCACATGAACCACTACACAAAGCTTCTTGCGGATTTGGCGAATGTGGATGTCAAGATTGAAGATGAGGACAAGGCGTTGCTGTTGTTGAGTTCCTTGCCCGACGAGGAATATGAGACCTTCGTTCTTACTCTGATTAATGGGAAGGCATCACTTTCGTATAGTGAGGTCACCGCTGCACTTGTGAATTATCAGCTTCGAAAGAAGGATAAGGAGGCTTCAGTTGAGCCGGTAGCGGAGGCGTTGGTCGCAAGAGGGAAGGGTCCAAACCGAAAGAATTGGAAGTCACAGTCTAGAGTAGGAAAAGATCAGTGTGCTTGGTGCAAGGAGACTGGTCATTGGAAGAAAGACTGCCCAAAGCTCGACGAATGGATGAAGAATAAGCAGAAGGGAAAAGGGAAGCAACCATCATCAGAAGCAAACATCGTATCGGATGGTAATAATTCTGACTCTTCTATTTATTCGCTTTCTATCAGTCCTACAGATAGCTATTCGGAGGAATCTGAATGGATGTTGGATAGTGGTGCGACCTATCATGTGTGCCCTAGAAGGGAATGGTTCTCCAGTTTTGAGAAGCTGGTGGATAGTGGTGTGGTGTACATGGCTGATAACCGTGCATGCCAGATCCTTGGGATAGGAAGAATTCGCATAAAGATGTTTGACGGGACTGTTAGAGAGTTAAACGATGTGAGATATGTTCCTTCTTTGAAGAAGAACTTGATCTCGATTGGAGCTTTGGTTGGAGAGGGTCTGAAGGTTCGTGTTGAGGATATGGTTCTCGAGATTGCGAGAGACTCTCGTATTTTGATGAAGGGCGCCAGGAAAAATAACCTGTATTACTTGACTAGAGATATAGTGGCAGGTGGAGAGCTGACGACTTCTGTTGATTCGACTAGACTGCGGCATTTGGGGCTTGGCCATTCCAGTATTGATTCCTCGCATAGATTGGAAGAGGGTGCGAAGACCTGCAGTTTGAAGTCCAGTGAACATGTTGATGTGAGCAAGAAGACCGAGGTGAAGTGTGGCACCTCTATTCACCGTGCTAAGGGTCGTTCTGGAGAAGTTCACGTGGATGTTTGGGGGCCTTCCAAGGGAGCATCATTGGGAGGTAATAGGCGTTTGGTTTCCTTTGTTGGTGGCTGTTCTAGGCGTGTTTAGGTTGCAACCAAATCCCCTTTGGAGAAAGTCCTAGTAGTATCCAACAGGTTAAAGAAGTGTGTAATAGACAGAAAGATGAAGGTACTCCATTCTGGTGGGAGGTACAAGATGGACCTATTTCTGTATTGGAGCCGAGCTCACGGCATTTCGAGACACTTCGTTGGAAAGGAAATCTTGGGGCAACTAGATAGGGTGACAAATTTGGAAGACCGTGCTTTGCTGGAGGAGGATCGGTGTTTGTGGTCGAGCAATGGTTTGCAGAAGAGGTTCTGGACTGAGGCTTCGACATATTTGGGTCATCCTATTAAAGAGTTGTCAACTGCTGTGATTGGAGGTAAAACTCCATTGGAAGATAGGTCTGGTAGTGTCACTTTGGTTGAGGCTTCGGTGAGGAAGCCAATTGACTCTCAGCAGGTGGAGAGTTTTGGACAGACCTTAGAGGTATCGCAGCGGGTGGAGATGGATGCTACTCCACATCGGGTGAAGATTACTCCAGATCATTCTGCATTGGTTGGGATTTCAGCTGAGGTGACACAGCGTGGAAGTCATTTGGATTCAGATGCAGATGATGAGTTGGGTTTTGATTCGAATGCAGCTGATAGATGCAGTTTGGATATGACCATTAGTTCACCTCAGGTAGAGGTGTTTGAGGCCATTGGAGGTGCTATCAGCCGCAGAGTAGATAATATTGGAGAAGGGTTGCGAACTCTTCTATTGGATTGAGGTCCTTAGCGGCCATTTTGGTGAACTACGTAAGGCTTGATTCCTTGGGCAAGAGGATACGTAGGCAGTCTTATGATGCAGCCGGGTTTGGATTTTGATGGGGGTGAGATCGATTTGTGAGTTGATACCGACATTTAGAGAGTGTTTGCATTCTCATTTGGGTTCTCGACTTGTTATGGATTGAGTCAGTTGTCGTGAATTGTTTCACTTCGTACTGGACATAACAAGTGAGATATTTGGTTTGGTCGGTGTCGGCTCAGTTTTGGAAAAACTTCACCGAGGTGGAGAATTGTTGGAGCACGTGAAATGATAGCATGTGGGGGCCACATGGGGAAATCTTGGGTGGGGGAAACCAGCGGTTTTTTGTGTGTGTTTTTTGTGTGTGTGTCAAGGACTTTTGGCCCACCCGAATTGTCCTTTTGAGCTTTATAAAGCCAGTGCTTAGGGTTTCGTGCATTTTGGGAAGCAAAGAGCGAAGGCAGGGGAAAGGTGAGGAACTCAGATTTTTTTTGGCGGCTGTGAATTAATTCCCAGACGTGGGCGTGCCAAGCAGAGAAGAAACAAAGGATTGTGTGTGCAGTCTGTTTTTCTTTCTTGGGCAGCGTGCAGAGCCGATTTGAGAGAGTTTTTTGTGCTTTGAGAGAGATATTTGTGTGAGGGATTTGAGAGTTTGTGAGAGGGTTTAGATTGAGTGATTGTAAACCCTAGTTGTGTTCTCTCCCTCTAATAGTAGATCTCCCCCTCCTTGCCCCGTGGACGTAGGCAGTTTGCCGAACCACGTAAAATTGATTGTTTGAGTTTGTGGCCATTGTAATAGTTTTTAGGATCCCTCGACGCGCAGTCCTAGAGCTGACGAGAGGAAGAGCTAATATCCCACTTTGATGGGATATTAGGCTTTCAGATTCTTGTTCCCTTTGAGAAACAAGAATTCTTATCGATCTTTCTCTCTTATTGTGCACCAGAAACTCTGCCGAAATTTCCGCTGCGCACAACAGGTATAACTGCACACCTGTCAACAGCACTTATGTGGCGATAGAACCATTGATGAATAGTACTGGGGGAAAGCACATCAAATACATCAACAACTTCCTCGAACAACCCTTGCAGTCATTACTCCTTGATGGATCGTCTATGGACTTGCTTAAGCAGCTCAAGTTCACACTCTTCAGTTAAGCAAAATGCACGTAAAAGTTCGGACCACAAAAACACCTGTGAGTGAGAAAATAAAGATTCATAAAGTAATGCTGAAGGAATAGACAAATGAAAAACCTGATGGTGGTTATTAAATAATGCTCTTATTCAATTAATTCCATCCAGTCGTGAACAAGCATTGCAACTTATAGACAAAAGAAAAACAATGTCTACAACCCAAGAAAACAAAAAAAAAAAAAAAATTCTTCAAATTTTTGGAGGGCGTGGAGGGGGTTGTTTAGGTAGACAAGTACAACACAAAAGAGAACTCAAATATGACTTCAGGCCCAAAAAGTATTGATATAGTCTGAGGCGTCCCTATAAGCAGAAAACCAAAACGTATAAAGTGGAGGGAAAAATGATTTGCCCAAATTTTGTAAATAGAAAATTCTAAATAGATTGAGATATGAGTGAAATATCTGGAAATGAAAAGCTCCGAAACATCGGTGTTCAGTATATAAACAAAAAACCAAACAATTTGCTAAACAATTCACAGTTCACAACCAGAGTCCCATCTGCCAAAAGAAGCCTACCAGCACAGGCTGAAAATTTTGGAGCTTTGGAGCATTGACGCCCTCTCTAGACCATAATAAGATAGAGGGACGTCAAACAAAATGCAAGTGGGCTTTTGATATTTACTGTCTTCTTCCAGTCTAGGTATATTTTGAGGGATCTCAGTTTCTTGAGTTTACAGCGCATACTGTCTTCTTCCAGTCTAGGTATATTTTGAGGGATCTCAGTTTCTTGAGTTTACAGCGCATGCAGAAGGTAGAACTAACGAAGAAAAATGGAAAAGCTGTAGGTGAAAATGCTAGCGTTCCAAAGGATATTTTCACTTTATTTTTGCACAGCTATCAAGAGCATCGGTACACTATATTACAAACATAAATTTTATTTTACAAGAATCAACAATCTATTTAGGTTTACAAAGAAACAGAGAGTACATATGAAGAGAAAATACCTTGGTAGATACATAACACTCAAGTAATTCCGGACGCACTCTGACGTCTCTATAGACAATTGTATCCATTAGTGCATCCCATAGGATGGGCACTACTTCAGTATGAGGAATTTTATTTTTTTCAATACCTTCAGCGACGGTTTTTATGACATCATGTATATCAAAATCCATAAAAACTTGATGGATTAATGTTGACTTCATCTCCTTCAAGGCCTTGAACATGTCCTTTTCAGTCTGAGCTATCAGACTCTCTTTGCTGAAAATTCACCATAGAAAGAAGTTCAGAGAAAAATGTCAGCAGAAACTACACAGAAATCACACACAGATAGTAACTCAAATCGCTCTTCCAAAATCATCTATAATAGTACCCTGCCTTCAATACTCTTCCAATCTCATCCAATTGAGACCCTAAAATTTGTTTTTCATAATCCAACACACTCCACGACAAGTCAATATTTGGCACCCAATTCTGACACCAATCCAGCATGCAAATTACAACTGCTAACATTATGCAAACGATCGGTTTCATTAGTTCTGACAAAATTTTGCCAAACCAAACAAAGGCGATGTAGCTTCAAAGCCGAACAAAATTAGTTCACTTCTGCTCAATTCCATCTATGCGCTTTAAACTTGGACCATTAAGTTAAAAACATAAGCTATGTTGACACAAAAGAAAGAAGCAAACCAAGAGAACGAAAAAGAAAACACGTGGAATAAGGGATCAATGCAAGAAAATTGCATATAAATTAAAATTGTAGAAAAAAAAATACACTGAGGAAAAGGTAGAAGGCAAGTTAGAAAGAAATGAAGAGTGGGTCTCAAAAGAACCAAGAAATAGCGGTCAGTTTGGTAAGTTCATATCAAAATTTGTCAAATCGAAGCAAACCCAGTAAGTTCTAAAATTGAGCTGAAACATCGAGAAGTATAACACATGCTCAGCTAAGAAAAATGAAGATGAAAAGTCGACTGTCCAATTCTCATCATTTTGTAATCCTTGCATCCTACATGTCCATTCAAGGAATTGAACAGTAAATCAACAAGTGATAAATAATAATTAACTCTAGCGGTTTGCAGCTATACATGTGTCCTAAGTCTTATGACTAGACAAAGTACAAGGAATTGGTGCCAAACCATTGTACTTTTTGAGCACCAATTACCAATGCAACTGTCGATGAAAATGATGGATAATCTGATATGGCTGAAATAGGAATATAAAACACAGGAAGTTTTACAAACTAGATAGAGCAACTAGGAGTCATATAAACTCGTTATGTTTACAAGATTTTCGGCACCAATTCTATAGGGAACAAATCTGATATAAAACCAAAGTAGTAGTAGTAGTAGTAGTAATGAAATGAGGCTAGAAAAAAGAAAAACCAATTGAAGTCAAATCATGGCATCTTTGAGTCAAGAGGTTATGTGTCTGGGTAATTTCAAACTTTAGTTGGACTAGCTCGAAAAGTATCGGTTCTTAATTGTCGCAAAGCAAAAAAAAAAAAGAGTAAAAGTCGAACAACACAAAGTAAACACTTTTATACATCTGATGACCCCATTCAGATAGATGGTTTAAAGGTAGACTGAATGCATAAAAAAAGAAAAATCGCCAAATTTTTTATATAGGATCGAAAAGGAAAAGGAAATCTGATTAATTATGATGAATTTATACCTCACAGAAAAGTTTCACCATTGTGAAACCCATAAAAAGTTTCATCATTTTATGAATTTGGACATAGGATTCATGTGTTCTTTTTATTGGTTTTGATCCTTGAATTTTAACTGTCATACCTCGTGATCCAGAAGTGTGTCGCCAAGCACACGACATGCCTACTACTGCTTTATCGACACTACAAAATACTAATAGGTACACTTCCACCTCTATCAATTCGAAACTGGACTATGATTAACGAAAGGGTTAACGAACCATCTACAGGATTTTAGACTGTTGTTATATGTGGTTCTAGATTAGTTTATTGTCCTTCATATTCCTCTTTTATGCTTAATTTTTTTGTTTAGACAAAAACCAGGCTTGTGGTGAACGAAGAGGTTTTAATTATTTGTGGACATCAATTATCGGTGTGTACAAATAAGTCGATGCATACTATATTGGGTTAGAAGTCCTTGAAACTAAAGAACAAGCCTCAGCTCAAATTAATCAAGTTTCTGCCCTCGAGAGGTCATAACCACCTATCCTGAATCTATGTTTTTGAGGAATGTCCTCTCTTAGAAAACAGTCAAGCATTAGGTCAAGTGAACACTACATTCCAACGCCCTACGAATGATCCATATTCTCCAACCTACAATCTAGGTTGGTAAAATCATCCAAATTTTAAAAATCATTTCTTAAAAATTTATTTAGAGTTATCATAAAATAGTAACTTGAATATAAAACTAACTACGAATTAGAAAGTTTAAAAATTCATCAAGTAAATCATTATTAATTAACTTTATCAAGTTTGCAAGTGGCATATTTTTTGGAAAGAAAAGAAATGATAAATGAAAGGATAAAATAAAGAGAAAAGATAACAAATCTTCACCCAATACCTAAATTTTACATTATCCTTAATGCAAACTATATGATACAAAAAGTAAAGTAGATAGAAAATGAAACACTTACATTTGTTCAATCTTGAATGATGATAAAATGACAAATTTTGGAATTACTTTGATTTCTAATGGGTATGAGAGAAGGATGTAGCCAAAAAAAATTCATCTCTCTTTTTCCTTTTTTTCTTTTTTAATGAAACAAACTCTCCAAACAAGAGAATATCAAATTCTTTTTTATTCTTATTATTATGAGAGACAGAGTAAAGATATAGAATAAAGGATTGAAAATAAAAAGCTCACATTCTATATCAGTTCCTGCCTTATTGCTAAAAATTCTATCTTGAATTTTAAAGAAGGCTTACAAGAAAAACTCAATGATGTGCTTAGATTCTGATTTTTAATAATTTTTGTAGCATTTGATGGCAGGTTAATAGAGGGTCATGCATCTTGATTTTTCGATGCCTATCAATTAGAAATCTAGTCTCAGATTTGAACTTAGGTTCCACATGAATGAAAGTTTGTCCTAATAAAATCAGCTCTTCTTTAAGAATTTTCTCAGACCCAAGGTTCATGGTTGAAGCATCATAGGCCAATTGTTTCATATCTATTTGGATCCTAAATTTCATCAGCAAATAGTTCTCCGAAGTTGTGATCAATAAAACTTGTGTCTAACCCAGTACTTTTCTTCTTAAAGACTTATTTTGATTCTAACTCTCTTAACAACTTGATTTCTTCATCAAAGATCTTCTCTCAAAACTCAATCAAGCTCATGCTCTTTTGCTACCTATTTGGTAGGTATTTCCTGAATTAAGTTCACTTTTAAGGGTTGATCTGATGGATCACTCGGCTATTTTTCTAGATTAAAGATGTTGAGATATATGAAAGGAAAATCTGCGAAAACAAACCCCGGATATTAGAACAATCATGTAATTGCAAACAAATTACCAGTTTTTATATAAACAAAACTAGAAAACTTACATTTATCATGTCCAGTGCACTCACGTCCTTAAGGAACTCAGCAAGATTAGCGTAGCCGTTGCTAAGTGAAAACCCAAGCTTGAGTGTCTCGTTGTTTGGGTATATGAACATTAGAATGTCAAATATTGGTTAATACGGTAATTTCAAACAATCCAACAAAAAGATTTTGTATTCTTCATTGTTCTTGCTCCCACTTTTAATTTCGAGTTGTACCAATAACGCTACAGGATATCTACTGCTTTCTATTGTCATAAACCACTCAGTATCAATTGCAATAAACGATGCCTCTGCGATGCACACTTTTATCTTATCAAAGAGTTCCGACGAAAATTCCTCAACAAGATCATACTGGTACTCACGTAACAAGGAAAGGTTGTTGAGGTTTTCTTTTCCATCTTCTTTTTCTCCTGTTTCACCTTCTTCCGTCGAGGCTAGTGGAGGTTCGGTGGGTTGAACTCTCTCAGAAGCAGAGACAATATAATTCATTTTCCGCACGTGAGAGTTCATCTAAGATGTCACAGAAAATAAAAAAGACTATTTTTGCCTCTGCTATATATCCACTAGCATATCATGAAATAATATATCCATTAGCACAGGCCTATCTACCTATCTGCTATATATCCAGTAGCACATCATGAAATAATATATTCACTTGCCTATCTGTTATATATCCATTAGCACATCATGAAATAATATATCCACTAGCACATCCATATCTGCCTATCTGCTATATATCCACTAGCATATCATGAAATATTACTTTTTTATTTTTGTGACATCTTAGATGAACTCTTACGTGCGGAAAATAAATTGTATTGCCTCTGCTTCCAAGAGAGTTCAAGCCACCGAACCTCCACTAGCCTCGACAGAAGGAGGTGAAACAGGAGAAAAAAATGGACAAGAAAACCCCAACAACCTTCCCTTGTTACGTGAGTACCAGTATGATCTTGTTAAGGAATTTCCGTCGGGCCTCTTTGATAAGATCAAAGCGTACATCGCAGAGGCAGCGTTTATTGCAATAGATACAGAGTGATTTATGATAATAGAAAGCATTAGATATCCAGAAGTGTCATTGATAACCCTTGAAATTAAAAGTGGGAGCTAGAACAATGAAGAATACAAAAAAAATTTGTTGGATTGTTTGAAATTGCCGCAATAATATTTGACATTCTAATATTCATATGCACAAACAACGAGACACTCAAGCTTGGGTTTTCATTTAGCAATGACTACGCTAACCTTGCTGAGTTCCTTTAGGATGTGGGTGCACTGGACATGATAAATGTAATTTTTCAGTTTTGTTTGTAATTACATGATTGTTCTAATATCCGGGGACTGTTTTCGCAAATTTTCCTTTTTATTAACCTGCAGACCATGTTCATGCAATTTGTTTAGTCCAACAATCAAATACAATTCAAATTTGCAATGGAACTCCTTTTTTTCTCCTGTTTCACCTCCTTCTGTCAAGGCTAGTGGAAGTTCGGTTGGTTGAACTCTCTCGGAAACAGAGACAATATAATTCATTACCCGCACGTGAGAGTTCATCTAATATGTCACAAAAAATGAAAAAGCAATATTTTTGCCTATCTGCTATATATCCACTAGCACATCATGAAATAATATATCCACTTGCCTATCTACCTATATGCTATATATCCACTAGCACATCATGAAATATTACATTTTTTATTTTCTATAACATCTTAGATGAACTCTCACGTGCGGGAAATGAATTATATTACCTGTCTATCTGCTATATATCCACGAGCACGTCATGAAATAATATATCTACTAGCACATGCCTCTGCTTCTTAGAGAGTTTAACTCACCGAACCTCCACTAGCCTCGACAGAATGAAGTAAAACAGGAGAAAAAGAAGATGGACAAGAAAACCCCAAAAACCTTACCTTGTTACGTGAGTATGATCTTGTTGAGGAATT